GAGTAAAGCTACAAAGTACTCCTCTCAAAAACTACTCAGTACTAGTTACTTTTTAGCCGGTGATATTTAAAGGAACACTCCACTATTTTTGAAAATAGGCTAATTTTCCAGCTCCTCTAGAGTTAAACAGTTGAGTTTCACCGTTTTCGAATCCATTCAGCCGATCTCCGGGTCTGGCAGTAGCACTTTTAGCTTAGCTTAGCATAGATCATTGAATCTGATTAGACCGTTAGCATCTCGCTCAAAAATTACCAAAGAGTTTCTATATTTTTCCTATTTAAAACTTGACTCTTCTGTAGCTACATCGTGTACTAAGACCGACGGAAAATGAAGAGTTGTGATTTTCTCGGCCGATATGGCTAGGAACTATTCTCTCATTCCGGCGTAATAATCAAGAAGCTTTGCTGCCATACCGTGTGTGCAGCAGGTGCAGTGATATTACACAGCGCCTGAAAATAGACTACCTTCCGTCAACATAACCAACGTGACCAGCTGCTTGCACAGGGAGCGTGCTGGGACTACTTCCAGGTGCTGAGTAATATCATTGCGCCTGCTGCACCCACTCACACACACACACACTCACTCACTCACACACTCACACACACACACACACACACTCACACACTCACACACACACACACTCACTCACTCTCACACTCACTCACACACTCACACACACACTCACACACACACGCACACACACACACACACACACTCACACACTCACACACACACACACTCACTCACTCTCACACTCACTCACACACTCACACACACACTCACACACACACGCACACACACACACACACACACTCACACACTCACACACACACACACTCACTCACTCTCACACTCACTCACACACTCACACACACACTCACACACACACGCACACACACACACACACACACTCACACACTCACACACACACACACTCACTCACTCTCACACTCACTCACACACTCACACACACACTCACACACACACGCACACACACACACACACACACTCACACACTCACACACACACACACTCACTCACTCTCACACTCACTCACACACTCACACACACACTCACACACACACGCACACACACACACACACACACTCACACACTCACACACACACACACTCACTCACTCTCACACTCACTCACACACACACTCACACACACACACACACACAGACACACACACACACTCACTCACTCACTCACTCTCACACACACACACACACTCACTCACACACTCACACACTCACACACACACAGCGTGAATAAGGAATCTGTGAGTGAAGATCTCTCCAGCAGAGGACGCCACAACTCCCAGAAACAAATGAAGACGTGTGATGGAACAATCATTCATTTTAAACGCTGTCTACACAAATAACTTGAAGAAGAAAGACTAGTTATTGCGTCTGTGGCTCCATTAATAGTCTGCATCACTTTTAAGACGTGATGTAAGTGTGATGTCAGCCTGCTTTGATTCCTCCTCATCCTCTCAGAGCAGGACGTGATGATGGTGAGGATCTGCTGGAGTGTGTGTGTGTGTGTGTGTATTCCTCTCACACACACTCATTTTGGGTGTGGACGCGCGCCAGAGATCCCAGTGCTCAATTACAGCACAAACACACTGAGATTCAGAGAGCTGTGGTGAAACTGACAAACATGATGCATAAATGAACAACAATCATTGCTGCCATCAAGACTTTTTTTACATTTAATGAGGAAAACACGAGTGACGCTTTCCAGTGTTAAACTGTGCCTGGATGGTTTCCAAGGCGTCGCTATGCAGTTGCTATAGTGTTTTGAATAGTTGTTATTTTGTTGCTATGCGGTTGCCAGTGTTTTTAGCATGTTACAATGTTTCTTCTAGAAGCCTGTTTCCATTCAATTCCATACAATTGTTTCTTTTCTTTTCTTTTTTTTTTGCCACAATAAAAAATAAAAAAGGTATTTGTGACTTTGTGATTCTGACTTTTATCTTGCATTTGCAAGTTTATATCATGCAATTCTAACTTTTGACTTTATATCTCACAACTACTGGTAATCGATCCACCAAACACGTGCTTACAGCAGTTTTACTATAATAAAACAATAGTTAATTTTCATAAGGGAATTATGAGTTAATATCTCACTATTTTTTCTCTGAATTGCGAGATAAAAAGTTGCAGTTACCTTTTTTTATTTTTCTAATTCCGTGATACAAACAAGCTTCCATTGTTTCTAGGTGTTTCTTCATGTCTGGTGTGAGTCTCCTTCAGTGTTTGTCCATCAAGCGAGAAATCAGTCACAATAAACACTGCTGCATGTTGAGGTAAGATTCAGAGTCAGTGTCACTTTAAAACTGCTCCTTATAAAACTACTCACTGAGAGAGAAATCACTGGACTTCACGTAAACCAGAAGAGAGAGAGCGAGAGAGAGAGCAGTATCTGGTGAGGTTTCTCTCTCTCTCTCTCTCAGTCTGTCTCTCTCTCTCTCCCTCCCTCTCTCTGCATCTCTCTCTCTCTCTCTCTCTCTCGCTCTCCCTCCCTCTCTCTGCATCTCTCTCTCTCTCTCCCTCCCTCTCTCTGCATCTCTCTCTGCATCTCTCTCGCTCTCTCTCCCTCTCTCAGTCTGTGTGCTGCACTCGTCTCTCACTGGAGGCTCTGCAGGTGAGTTACAGCTCTTGCTGATCTGTGCTTCTCTGTCTGCTTTGCTCTGTTAGTTTCTCTCAGCTCTTACTGGATTAACTTGCATGATTAATAACAGTGTGTTTGTGCATCACATTTTTGGAGTCTTAAAAAAAGACCGTTCTGTCATTATTTTCTCGATCATGTCAAACCTGTGTGAATTTCTTTCTTTTGGAACAAAACTAAACATTTGAAGAATATTACAAACCTAACCACATGGAACCTCTTTGACTTTCATTGCATGGACAAGAAAACATTGACATTTCTTAAAATATCTTCTAACACTTGACAGAATTTAGGGTGAAATTCGCCATAAATATTCATGACCTTTAGAGTCTGACCTTAAAATTAGATAAACTCAGAATTCCAGCTTTTATTATAACAATTGTGAGTTATTGCGAGGTATAAGCTGAGAATGTTGTAATTGTAACGTCTCGTGCTCTGTGCTCTGGGCTCTGGGCTCTGGGCTCTGGGCTCATCAGCTCTGAGTGCATGTGATGGCAGGATCCCAAGCGCTTCAGAGGTTGATGTGTAATGCATGTGTCCGAGCACAGGAGGAGAAGATGAAGATGATGCTGATGCTGATGCTCCTCACCGTCGCTCCGCTCGCGCGTGGGGTCCCGGGGCTCCAGCTGCGTCTGGAGGGCGGCAGGAACAGGTTCGAGGGCCGGCTGGAGGTGCTGTATAACGGTGCGTGGGGAACCGTGTGTGACGACGAGGTCAACATCAATCTGGCCAACGTGGTGTGTCGCGAACTGGGCTTTTCCCGCGGACTCACCTGGGCTCACAGCGCCAAGTTCGGCGAGGGCCGCGGTAAGCATCTCTGCTCGGCGTTCAGTGAGGATGATGATGATGATGATGATGATGATGATGATGATGGGGAAAAACAGAGAAACATAAAATCACTTACGACATGTTCCCGGCCTTAAAGTGTCATATTTTAGTTTTGGGAGTTCCTAACAACAGGTTGACATGCAGGCAAGGTCAAAAAACACTCTCATTGTCTTATAATATGCATTTATTTTTACCTTATTTGCTCATCGACTCCCAAACTATTCGCTCAACCATTAATTTTTCCAAACCTTTGCTTTGCGTGACGCTAATCTGCGGTGATTGGTCTGATTAGTCTCATTTTAACGTCATCTCGCCTGTGATGCCTGATAAAGCAGGGTTTGTGAGCGCAGTGCTGCTTTGTGAACAGCGTTACCGGGGAAATCGCTATTTTACTGCTCCAAAAGAGACACCTAGTGGCAAAGAATGAATTTGCATTTTTATTCAGACCAACTCGAAAAGACCAACACGTGGGCGGGCAGTATGCTAATGCTTCATGATGACGTCAAGATGAAGCGGCTTGGGATTCGTTTTAAAAACGACTCGTTTCAATGATTCAGAGTCGACTCTTTCTTTTGAGAGACAATAAGTTTATACACGGTGCACTTTCAGATTTAAAGCTTTGCCGGATGTTTTCATTCACTTAGAGCTGTTACACACGGCATGAAAGCTCATTTTCAGAAATCCATAGTAGGGGCACTTTAAAATGTTATTTGCGACTTTTTATCGCATAATTCACTCTTTTTCCTCACAATTGTGAATTTATATATTGCAATTTGCGAGTTATTAATTGCAAGTTATTAATCGCAAAATGTAAACTCAGAATTTCAAGTTTATATCTAACAATTGCAAATTATTAATTGTGCATCATTTATTGCGAGATGTAAACTCACAATTCCATCTTTTTTCTTAGAATTTCCAGTTCATATCTAAAAAATGCGAGTTATGAATTGTGAGATGTAAATTAAGAATTCCAACTTTTTTCTCAGAATTTCAAGTTTATGTCTGACAATTTTGAGATATTAATTGAGATAAAAACTCACAATTCTGAGAAAAAAAATCTAATTAAAACAAAAAGTTGCAAGTACCTTTTATATATATATATAGGGTACAACAGGGCTAAAGGCACCCCCTAAGAAAAAAACGATTGCAGAGCAAATATACGCTTGTATTGAACATTAATGGAGCAACAGATTTTGTGTGAAAATAAATCATACAAGTCGTTTATTTTGTTTACAAATCTTATAAATGTATGAGGTGGCCTGTTACCCCACACAATATACTTCAGCTAAAATAATGCTTTTAAGTTGAGTTATTGCGAGGTATAAGCTGAGAATGTTGTAATTGTAACGTCTCGTGCTCTGTGCTCTGGGCTCTGGGCTCTGGGCTCTGGGCTCATCAGCTCTGAGTGCATGTGATGGCAGGATCCCAAGCGCTTCAGAGGTTGATGTGTAATGCATGTGTCCGAGCACAGGAGGAGAAGATGAAGATGATGCTGATGCTGATGCTCCTCACCGTCGCTCCGCTCGCGCGTGGGGTCCCGGGGCTCCAGCTGCGTCTGGAGGGCGGCAGGAACAGGTTCGAGGGCCGGCTGGAGGTGCTGTATAACGGTGCGTGGGGAACCGTGTGTGACGACGAGGTCAACATCAATCTGGCCAACGTGGTGTGTCGCGAACTGGGCTTTTCCCGCGGACTCACCTGGGCTCACAGCGCCAAGTTCGGCGAGGGCCGCGGTAAGCATCTCTGCTCGGCGTTCAGTGAGGATGATGATGATGATGATGATGATGATGATGATGATGGGGAAAAACAGAGAAACATAAAATCACTTACGACATGTTCCCGGCCTTAAAGTGTCATATTTTAGTTTTGGGAGTTCCTAACAACAGGTTGACATGCAGGCAAGGTCAAAAAACACTCTCATTGTCTTATAATATGCATTTATTTTTACCTTATTTGCTCATCGACTCCCAAACTATTCGCTCAACCATTAATTTTTCCAAACCTTTGCTTTGCGTGACGCTAATCTGCGGTGATTGGTCTGATTAGTCTCATTTTAACGTCATCTCGCCTGTGATGCCTGATAAAGCAGGGTTTGTGAGCGCAGTGCTGCTTTGTGAACAGCGTTACCGGGGAAATCGCTATTTTACTGCTCCAAAAGAGACACCTAGTGGCAAAGAATGAATTTGCATTTTTATTCAGACCAACTCGAAAAGACCAACACGTGGGCGGGCAGTATGCTAATGCTTCATGATGACGTCAAGATGAAGCGGCTTGGGATTCGTTTTAAAAACGACTCGTTTCAATGATTCAGAGTCGACTCTTTCTTTTGAGAGACAATAAGTTTATACACGGTGCACTTTCAGATTTAAAGCTTTGCCGGATGTTTTCATTCACTTAGAGCTGTTACACACGGCATGAAAGCTCATTTTCAGAAATCCATAGTAGGGGCACTTTAAAATGTTATTTGCGACTTTTTATCGCATAATTCACTCTTTTTCCTCACAATTGTGAATTTATATATTGCAATTTGCGAGTTATTAATTGCAAGTTATTAATCGCAAAATGTAAACTCAGAATTTCAAGTTTATATCTAACAATTGCAAATTATTAATTGTGCATCATTTATTGCGAGATGTAAACTCACAATTCCATCTTTTTTCTTAGAATTTCCAGTTCATATCTAAAAAATGCGAGTTATGAATTGTGAGATGTAAATTAAGAATTCCAACTTTTTTCTCAGAATTTCAAGTTTATGTCTGACAATTTTGAGATATTAATTGAGATAAAAACTCACAATTCTGAGAAAAAAAATCTAATTAAAACAAAAAGTTGCAAGTACCTTTTATATATATATAGGGTACAACAGGGCTAAAGGCACCCCCTAAGAAAAAACGATTGCAGAGCAAATATACGCTTGTATTGAACATTAATGGAGCAACAGATTTTGTGTGAAAATAAATCATACAAGTCGTTTATTTTGTTTACAAATCTTATAAATGTATGAGTATATATATATAGGGTACAACAGGGCTAAAGGCACCCCCTAAGAAAAAAACGATTGCAGAGCAAATATACGCTTGTATTGAACATTAATGGAGCAACAGATTTTGTGTGAAAATAAATCATACAAGTCGTTTATTTTGTTTACAAATCTTATAAATGTATGAGGTGGCCTGTTACCCCACACAATATACTTCAGCTAAAATAATGCTTTTAAGTTAATACTTGATCAAAACAATCACTTTAGCAAAGTTTGTACTATATTCTGCTTATTTTGATAAATAAAATAATGCATTTTTGTTCAATAAATATACTGTCATTAAAAAAATGTTAATATAAAACATACTGTATATTTTAAAATACAGAAACAAAATCATTTTAAAAAGTAAAGATTCTGAAAGCATCGAAGGAGATCCTATAACAACTGAATATAGATTTAGAGTAACAACTAATTCTATTTTATTATATGCTATGATTAATATCATGTTTTTAAATATGATGGTTTCATTCTAAACATGGTGATTATCTCTAATATGGACACTCAACATTATATATGATATTTACATCTGAATCTAACCATCATCTAAAAAAATGAAAAGTCAGCCATCTATTAATTATCATGTTAATTACTGCGCCTTTAGCCCCAACAGCAGGGCGCTTTATACCCCAAACACCATACTTTTACATATTCTTTCCTTATTTGAAAACTGTTGCTTTAATTATCTTAAACAAAACTGAAAATCATAAAGAAGACCTTTGTCTCAGAATATATTCAATAATTTTAGCGATTCTCATTTGCTACTTAAATCTACAACATTTTAAAAAACATCAAATATTAGATCAACTAAGCTCATTTGCAAGGATCGGACAAATCTACAGGTGCATCTTGAAAAGCGGATGTTTTGGAAAGTGCTACGCCATTTAGTGCTTTAGAGGGAAATAATATCAAAGGCACCTTCAGCTTTGTTGTACCCTATATATATATACTGTATATTCCATAGCAGAATTAAGCTTCCGTACAATCCGTATTTTATAAAGCGCTTTAATACTGTGCCTGTTATTGATTATAGTCCTATTGATCATCCAGACACACTTTCACCATGCCATCAGTTGATCATGTGAATCCCTTTTTTCACTCATAAATTGATCGTGCGAGTCAAACAGGTGGTGAATGCCTCGTGTTGACTTCACTGGTCTCAGTGTTTGCTCAGTGGCTCCGTCAGCACACTCTGGTTCTGGTGTGTTCAGGTCCGGTCTGGCTGGATAACGTCTGGTGTTCGGGCGGCGAGAGCTCTCTGTCGGAGTGCCGGTCGAATGGCTGGGGTGTGAGCGACTGCACTCACGCTGAAGACCTGGGAGTCGTCTGCAGTCCGGATCCACCCAACCAGGGTCACGTCCCCCGGTACCAAGAGCCTCCTTCACCTCAGATCTCTAACCTGGTCTCGAACGCTCCTCAACGCGGGCACGAGATCGGCCTCCACCGCGGCGGCCGCGGCCCGTCCTCACCGCAGCTCACCGGCCATCACATCCAGCTGCACAGGAACGGGTTCGAGAGCGCCGTCACCCCGCGGGGACACCAGATCCCGGACTTCCTGCGCAGCAGAGCCTCCTACAGACGAGCGCAGGACGTGACGCCCGCTCAGACCGCACGAAACCCTGAGAGACCAGCGCCAGCGCCGGAGCCGGTCTACAGTCCCGAGCCGGTGGAGCACAGTAACAGGATGGATCTGGACGAGCAGGTCAGAGTCTCTTCTGCTCACCACGGCTGCATTTATTTGATCAAAAATAGAGTAAAAATGTGAAATATTATTACAATGTAAAACAGCTGTGAATCTCTGTTAAAGTGTAATGTATTTCTGTGATGTGCAGCTGTATTTTCAGCATCATTCCTCCAGTCTTCAGTGTCACATGATCTTCAGAAATCAGTATAATATGCTGATTTATTAGAAACATTTCTGATTATTATCAATGTTGTGCTGCCTGATATTTTTCCGTTCAAAAGTTTGGGGTAAGTATAATTTAAAAAAGAAATAGATACTTTTATTCAGCAAGGATGCATTAAATTGATTAAAAGTGACAGTAAAGACATTTATAATGTTACAAAGTGCCGTTCTTTTGAACGTTCTATTCATCTGTGAATCCTGAAAATAAATATTCCAGGTTTTAGATGGTTTCTAGATGATCCAACGTGGTCATTAGTTGGTTGACCTACTAAACTCAGTTTTTCCAGCGGTTAACAGAGTCATGTAATTGAAGACTAGCAGTGTAAACATGCTGTAAACCGCAGTCGTTTAGAGCAAATTGTATATTTTTGCTCTGTTTGAGGCTCTGAATAAATCAAGCTGGGGTTTTTTCTTTCATATTCTCACTATATCATAGCCATAATAGCCTGACGGATCAAATATGATACTTAACAAAAAACACGTTTTATCTAAAGGTTGAATAAACTCTGTTTGTCCGTGTCTCTCTCAGTCGTCTGGGTCGCTCCGGCTGGACGAGGTGCGTCTCCGAGCCGTTCTGAGCACCGCTCGGAGCGCTGCCATGGTGACGGAGGGTGTGCTGGAGGTGAGGCATGCTGGGAAATGGAGGCAGGTGTGTAGTGTGGGCTGGGATCTCAGCAGCAGTCGTGTAGTGTGTGGCATGCTGGGATTCCCGTCAGCGGAGCAGCTCGACACACGCGTGTACCGGTGAGTATGTGCGCTCTGTGTTACATGGCTTCCAGAAGATCCTAGATCATTTTGGATCAGCAATAAACCAGCCTCCATGGTGTACTAACTAGGGTTATTATAGTAAACTAAAACTGAAACTGAAACTTAAATAAAACGATAAAAAAATTTATGTTGGTAAATAAAATAAAATATAAAAAACATTTGATTTCAAAAGTCTCAGAGCACTAGAGAAAGTGCTTATATTTTGCATTTTTCTAATTGAATGCACATTTTAACAAATTATACGTCAATGAAAGCTGATGTGAAACATGAAATGTGAGAATGTCTCAGTATTTGGTGTCTTTCAGCACCACTGAAACCAGGGATATTATAGTTAAGTTAAAAATCTAATTTAAAAAAATTATAAATATTAACTGAAATAAAACAAAATATAGAAACTTAAACTTGTTTAAAAAGGTAAAAAAAATGTATAATAAATGTTGACTGAAATAAAATAAAATATAAAAACGTAATCTTTTTTAAGAACTTATTTTAACTAGTTGCCATGGCAACATTTCTCAGTTTAATGTAGTTTAACTAAAATTAAAAGTGACAAAAAATTAATTTTAAAAAATATTATAAAAACTACTAAAAATGGCAAAAACACCTACAATTAAAATAAGAACAGAAAATATCAAATAAAAGTCTAATTCGAAATATTATCAAAAACTATAAACGTATATTAATAATGCCATGGTCACTAACACTACTTAAATTAAAACAATTAGTAAATAAAATATAAAAACATGTCTTGCAACATTTCTCATTTTAATGTAGTTTAACTTGATGTACCAAAATAATAAAATAATTTTAAAAAAAATCAAATTCGTTTTTATATATTTCAAAGTGTGGCCAAAAATATATTTAAAAAAATAAGTTTCAAAATATATTTACTATTTTTTTACCAATCTATTTTTTTGAAAAAATATTTAATATACTGTATATTTTACAAAGCATTTAAAAATATACTTTGTCCCCCACATATTTCAATCTAAAAAAAAAATTTTTTTTAATTCACATTCATCACATTTGAAGTCAAATTGTATTTTTTTTTTGCCTAGAACAATGTGAACATATGATGCATGTGATTTTATGGCATTTCACAAAACGTCCCAACTTTTCTGGAATTGAGGTTGTATGTGTGTATATATATATATATATAGGAAATGTATTTTCTTGCCCCTGAAATACATTCTGAAATATATTTTGGTTGAAACTAAAAATATTTTAAATTTAAAAAATATATTTCCTTAAGCTTCACTGTTTAAAACATATATTTTGTGCAGAAACATGTATAATTTTTGCTGTGTGTAGAGAATGTGTATAGGAGTGCTGCTTGTAGAGCCTGCTGAGCGTTAGACGTGTGTGTGTGTGTGTGTGTGTGTGTGCGTGCGTGTGTGTCTGTGTGTGTGTGTGAGTAACAAATTTCCAAAAAATATATATAAATATATTACATACACATTTTGGAAGAAAAACTTTGTTGACTATAACACGTGTGAATATGTAACACACTTGAATATAAATCAGCAAGAATTCATATTTCAAACATATATTTCATCAAGCTTATAAAATACATATATTTAGCATGTATTTTAAAATATATTGTGGCCTCAAAAATAAAAAATTTTTGCCGTATGGGATCAAAATGACGTTTTGTGGCAGGGGAATGAAGAAAAACACAAGGTTTATAGACATGTGACACGTTTTAGACGTTTAAAAGTTTAACATTTTAACTTGAATGTGTTCGAAATTCTGCAAAAGACTCTCTTTTTTTAGACGCAAAGACGCGTTCTGTGTGTTTTTCAGCCCACTGCAGCACTGAGAGAAAGTTTTAATAAGCAGTATTCATGTGGTCCGGAATAGACTGAATAGTTTTGACCTTTAGTTGACTCTCACGTCTCGTTACAGTCTCAGAGCAGATACGATGCAAGTGCTGCTCTTCCTCAGAATCCGTCTTGTTTTCTGCAAATCTCTTCAGATTCGTGATCTAAGTGACGGGTTTGAGTCTCTCTTTCTCTCGTTCTGCGCGGTCTATATGAACCTCCAGCCGCAGTGAGACTCTGTGCTTCTGCGAGGGATGTTTAACAGCTGCTTCAGTGCTCCACCCGTCTCCGCTCGTTTCTGTCTGTTGCTTCGTTTAAACTCTGTTCATTGTGAGAAAAAGCACCTTGGAAGAAACTCACTAGTTTGACTTTAGATGTAGATTAAATGTGTTTGCATTCCAGGCCATGAGAGTAAAGAGCAGTTCTCTGGTGTTGTGTTATGGATTAAATCTAATCGTCAGATCTTTATATTTAAATATCAGAATTAGTTTGACACAGATTGCATAAACACACTGAATAGCCACTTTTTGGACAAAACAGGTTGTTAAAGTCATCAGACCCTTACGGCAAAAAAAATAAAAAATTTTATATATTTCAAAGTGTGGCCAAAAATATATTTAAAAAAATAAGTTTCAAAATATATTTACTATTTTTTTACCAATCTATTTTTTTGAAAAAATATTTAATATACTGTATATTTTACAAAGCATTTAAAAATATACTTTGTCCCCCACATATTTCAATCTAAAAAAAAAATTTTTTTTAATTCACATTCATCACATTTGAAGTCAAATTGTATTTTTTTTTTGCCTAGAACAATGTGAACATATGATGCATGTGATTTTATGGCATTTCACAAAACGTCCCAACTTTTCTGGAATTGAGGTTGTATGTGTGTATATATATATATATATAGGAAATGTATTTTCTTGCCCCTGAAATACATTCTGAAATATATTTTGGTTGAAACTAAAAATATTTTAAATTTAAAAAATATATTTCCTTAAGCTTCACTGTTTAAAACATATATTTTGTGCAGAAACATGTATAATTTTTGCTGTGTGTAGAGAATGTGTATAGGAGTGCTGCTTGTAGAGCCTGCTGAGCGTTAGACGTGTGTGTGTGTGTGTGTGTGTGTGTGCGTGCGTGTGTGTCTGTGTGTGTGTGTGAGTGTGTGTGTGTGTGTGTGTGTGTGTGTGTGTGAGAGAGAGAGAGAGTGTGTGTGTGTGCGTGCGTGTGAGTGTGTGTGTGTGTGTGTGAGAGAGAGAGAGAGAGAAAGAGTGTGTGTGTGTGTGTGTGTGCAGACAGGCGTGTGATGTGATCTAAACAGACTGAGTGTCTGGTGTGTTTCTGACGATCACTAATGCTTCTTCAGCTCTTCTGATCTTGATGTGTCTGTGGCTCTGGGCTGCTCTTGGGTCATGTGACTGCTCTCAGCCAATCACAGCTCTGCATGGATCTGTTGATGTGGCAAATAAGTGGTTTCCTAAAGTCATGCTGCCCACCAGAGCAGACCACCAGCGCTCAGACAGACCATATATATATATATATATATATATATATATATACATACATGCTGCTCTCACCGTTTCCAGAAACACAATGCTATGTGGTGTTTCTGTTAGTTTGTTGTGTTTCCATGCGACACCGAGAGCTCTGTGTGTTCCAGCAGGTGCTTCTGGGTGTTTTAACGGCTGCTTTAATTCAGTGACTCGTTAGGACGGTCGTCTCAGCTCTTCTGTTTAACCTGCCGCTGTATAATCCTGCAGGATGATGTATTTTTGTGGACCGAAACCCAGAAACAAGCTGCATTTTAGCATTTAGTGATTGTGTGAGTCTATATAGTGATAGTCAAAGTAAAAAGAGCAGATAAAGAACACAAAACAGCAGAACTACATAAAGTTAAAGAGGATAAACTTTATCATTCGGCTGAATCTGCTCGTGTGTTTCTAACACTTCGGCTCTTATATGTTCTTACTCCACACATCTATTAGATGTTTTCTAGAGTATTTCTTTAACTTCTCAGGTAATATCAATGGTGTGACCTATTTCAGATGCGGCCGAAATTACAACAACAGTGTTACATACACATATATTTAACTGTTTGATCACAGGCTTCAAAAGTTGTGTATAATTTGTGAAGATTATTATAATGAACAAAACATTATTTTCCGCAACAATCCAAAAAAGCCAATGGAAAAATCCTGTTGGGTTTCCTCTGAAAATACGTCATCACTGCAGCCTCTCCTAAACCCCGCCCCCATAGACGTGTCAGCCAATCAGCTTACCTGAATGCCTTTGGCCAGTGACCTGCACTGCATTCAGGGGACACTTTTGCTTTAATCAGTTCTTGCTTTCCCTGGGAATCAAACTTACAATCTTGGTGTTGCGAGTGCCAAACTACAGGAAAGCGCAGGAAAACATGAATGCTGGTGTTTTGTGCTGTTCTTGTCTCTCGTTCTGTCCGTTAGGTTTATTTGGCTGATACTCAGACGCTGCTGTGTTTCAGATTCTAGACCAGAATGCACCTGGGCCTCATTCCGCTGTGTCTGATATATGGACGGGAAACACAAGCATGAGCAGTTTTGGCTCAGCTTTGAGAACGGGGAGATCTGTGTGTGAACGTCTGCTGACCACAAACCCAGCAGAACGTCCCAGAGTGTTTCCAGAGAGTTTATTTACCATCTACTGCTCGCTGACCATGCTATATATATATATATATATATACAGTCAGAGTTATTGGCCCCCTTGGTAAATATGAGCAATGAAGGCTGTAAAAATAAATCTTCATTGTGTGTCCAATTGATCTTTCATTCAAAAAATTCACAAAAATCTAATTGAACACGGGGGGAAACCTCATTAGGAAATAAAAATTTTTTGTGAATTTGTTACCAAGGGGGCCAATAATTGTGACCACAGCTGTATTTATGTGTGTCTGAGATGAATGAATGAGGCATTTATATAGCGCTTTATTGTGTATTGCTGCACACCCAAAGCGCTTTACAATCATATATATGGTACACACAAACAAGCTCTGGCGCTCATGCGAAGCCTGTTTATTTAGTCCAATCCTATTTATTGGCTCATTTGTGTCGTTTCAGGAAACTGTGGGACTCAAAGTTGGAGGATCCAGCCGCAAGGTACGGCTTCATGTGCTGTTTGTCGTCAGTGCTGTGTGTAAGAACGGACTCTCAGAGTGATGTGTGTGTGTCTGCAGGTCTGCGGTCAGTAAGAAGGCGTTCTGGGTCGAGCGGGTTCAGTGTTTGGGTACAGAGGTGTCTCTGGCGCAGTGTCGGGCGCAGCTCTCCGTCCCACGGCACGACGTCCCCTGCGCCGGAGCGATGCACGCGGTGGTGCGCTGCGTTCCCGGCGCTCAGTTCTCCAGAAGCTCCGCCTCCAGACACCTGCAGGCTCTGCCCCCTCTGAACGTGAGTGCCGCACACAGTCCAGCTCCAGCTGTGAGCACTGGCTCCGGGGACGCGGCTCATGTGACTGTGTGTTCCCGCAGGCGGAGGTGCGTCTGAAGGCCGGAGCGCGGCTGGGCGAGGGCCGGGTGGAGGTGCTCCGCGAGGGTAAGTGGGGGACCGTGTGTGACCATCTGTGGGATCTAACAGCGGCCAGCGTGGTGTGCAGAGAGCTGGGCTTCGGCTCGGCCAGAGAGGCCCCGCGAGGAGCGCTCATGGGTCAAGGTAATGACTCCTCACCATGGTAAAAGATTCAGAGCTGATACGAGCCGCTGGTTTCAATGCTATTTCCTCTTTCCCAGTGGCTGATGGGTCAGGGTTTGAGTTTCTCAGCCAGTCTAAACAGAACACATGACACACTCACACAGACGCAGTTCAGACGCTGCGATGGGAATGTTTAGTTCAGTCTTCGTGCTCCTGTGGGAACACTGCCGTTTGGGCTGCACGGTTTTGGGACAAAATCTACTTGCAAACTATTACTAAATAAAAGTATTAAACAAAATAGGAAATATTCCTAACCCTGCACGATCTGGCCCATAAAATTGTGATTATATATCAATATGACTATAAAATCATAATAATAATTGGATTATTATTATTACTGTTTTTAATTTAAAAAAATTAAACAAAATAAAAATATTTGTAACCCTAACAATTCTTCTAACTTATATTTAAAAAATACTATAAAAAGTGTTAAAAGAAATAGTCTTCTTGTCTTCATTTATTAATTTTCAGACTTTCAGCAGAGAGGCTAGGCTTATTGACAAGTATGTGTGGTGTAACATTGGTCCAGCAGTTAGTCCAGGACTAACCAGCATAAACCAGTCTGGAGACTCACTGAGTTACTCAGATGTTGTGGAACACAAGGGCCCTGAATGCTTAGCGCTGACCATGCACATCACAACAATACATCAGCATGATGATGATGAGTTCCCAACATGCTGTCATTTGTTCCATCGTCTCAGGTTTGGGGTTTTGCCCTGGTGTTTGAATGCCTCTATTTTCAGGGTAAATGTTCTGAATTATACGCTGTCAGCCTGTTCTTCAGTGGTGATGAGGAGAGTAAGAGACACGTTTGCTGGTGACTTCATGACCCAACCGTGCACTAATTACAGGGAGTCTCGTCCATACTCATGTGTCTCTCCGTCCCATCTCTATTAAATGCTTCCATTTGGCCCGTGTGTGTAATTTACTGAATCCAGTGTCCACATCACACATGCAGGCCAGTTGCAGTTGTCTGCCGAACACAATACGAACTGGGGCATTAATGAAGCCATGGTGGTGTGTCGACAGCTCGGCTTCGGCTTCGCTTCCAGAGCCCATCAGGTACGTGATAGCATTTGTTCTTTTTTTATTGCTGAAGAGTGTTGAACTTTCTTATTCTGCGTACTGTACAGACGTGAATTTACATTTCCTTCCGCCTGAGGCGTATTCATTTCACTTTTGTTGTGAAAGGGCTTTTACATTTGCCAAAAAATATAACTTTTTATATTAAAAATAAACAAGCAAACCCTGCCTAGATTTAAAAAGTAACGCAAAAGTAACGTAACGCATTACTTTCCATAAAACGTAACTAAGTAATGTAATTAGTTACTTTTTTAAGGGAGTAACGCAATATTGTAGTGCATTACTTTTAAAAGTAACTTTTCCCAACACTGGCCGTCAGTAGCTACGTTTCCATCCAAAGTTGCTACTTTGGCTATGAAAAATTTGAATATCGCATAAAACATATGTGAATAAACCCCAACCTCCATCCCATGTGTTCAAGAGAATAAAATCGTGACTTTCTTGGAAACTGGCGCAAGGTATTAATAGTAAATTTGAAAGTTGCTGCAACCTGGAGAAACAAACTTGTGACTCTTTTATCCAACATAATATATGACTTCTTATAAATAACAAACACGTGTCATGTGACCTTGCATTCGGATGCCTGATGTTTGGGAATCAATCATGTAAGACAGTTCTGATAGATAATTACACTAAATCAGTTAGATGATGGACTTTGGCTCAGGTGTTTCAAAATGATTAACACAGTATTTGAGACGGTGTGCGATGGGATCGATGTGCTGGTTAATCCAGTTATACAGTCACATGATCGGTTGATGTAGAGTCAGATGCGCAATGCGGAATTTATTCGGTAAATGTGTTCATCGTAGTTTATGCAAATTCGTATCTGATAAAAAAAATGATCCGACTCAGTTGAGTGCATACGTTTTTTAGAACTCGTGCGTATCTTGCCATCTTATCATCCAGCGTTTTTCATGCAATATCCCCAAATTTGCATAAAAATAGGTAGATGGAAACATAGCTAGTGCGACATTTGTTATGGAGATTGTTCTAATCTCTTTGTCATCACACTGTGAAAAAACTGGTCAACCAATAGGATTTGTGCATTTGCTCAGAGACGCTGCTGTTGTCAGAAATGTGATTTCTTTGTGCCAAAGGTTTGTTGGTGTGTTTATTAGCACAGACTCTCTCAGCTCGACTGTTATTGTGCTTGAAGCTTGAAGAGACCCTTATGAGCGACTACTGAATAATCACACATTGAAATCAGACACAACAGAACATGATCATGTCAAGCTGCTCATTCAGTGTCAGATTATTCAGTAATGGAGAGCTGAATGTGTTTCACTGTCACTGCTTACACCCGCAGGACTGTTGTTTCCCATGCAGAGGTAATTACAGCCCTGCACAGATTCAGGGAAAGAGCAGGAAACCAGAGAGAAACCAAACCCAAAATAGAGCCGCTGGACCGGAGCACATTTGCACTATTATTAAAGCCTGTTTAAAAGCGGCTCTCGCTAAATAGACGGTGGAGAGGAACGTGGAAAAGATTTGATAATGTGCATGAATTAGCTGTAATAGCGGCCGTTATTAGACTCTGGGTGGATTCCTGCGGATTCAGTCTCGTGTTCGGTCCGTCCCGCAGGAGACCTGGTTCTGGCCCAGCAGCTCCGGGTCCGAGGACGTGCTTCTGAGCGGAACTCACTGCATCGGCACCGAGATCTCCATCCAGCAGTGCCACAGGAACACACAGGTGTACTGCCCACGAGGAGGCGGAGGCGGAGCCGCCGGAGTCACCTGTGCGGACGGTACGAGCACACCTCAACACACACACACTCTCTCTCACACACACACACACACACACACTCTCTCTCACACGCACACACTCACATTCTCTCTCTCTCTCTCTCACACACACACACACTCTCTCACACACACACACACACACACACACACACTCTCTCTCACACACACACACACATTTGATCAGTTTACTTGCATGTCATATAATCATTACCCATGAACATGCAAATCTGTTAATAAATTATTGAAATATTAACTTAAAATCTGACTTAAAGGGGTCCTATTATGCTCTTTCACTTTTTTAATTTTAGTCAGTGTGTAGTGTGTAGGTTTGGGCATAAAAAAGATCTAGAAAGTTACAGATCTCAAAGTCCACTCCAAAGTAAATATTTAGTTTTTTAAAAATCAATTTTCAAGAACTACAGCAAACGGCTCGTTTGGACTACAGCGCTTGGTTTCCGGGCTTTGTGATGTCGCAAAGCGGCTCATTAGAAGATCATTACAAAGAATTCCCGCCTACAGAAATGTGAATGGTTGGGGGGTGGGGTCGTGGTTAGAGCGCTTGGTTGAGTGAGTGCATCAGACGAGACGATGAAGAAGAAGAGCTGCTGCAGAGTTAGTGCATCAGAGAAAACCAAGAAGAAGAGCTGCTGCAGAGTTAGTGTGTCAGAGAAAACCAAGAAGTGCTGCTGCAGAGTTAGTGCGTCAGAGAAAACCAAGAAGAAGAGCTGCTGCAGAGTTAGTGTGTCAGAGAAAACCAAGAAG